TTTTGGGAATATTGCAAAAAAGATACAGGGACACAGACTCTGGAGAGAGCACTGATAGTGCACCAGCAATATCAATAAATAGATTGGGAGCATGTCACTGTTCCTACTACAACAGCCATGTTTTACTGTCTAACACCTGAGGTGCCTCCTCTGAAAAGGCAGAGGCTTGCACATTAACATCATAATGAAATAAAGAGTGCTTTATTGCTTGGTGGTAGGGAAAAGCAGGCCAGGAAGGTGAGTGCTTCCCTCTGCTCCTGGCTCTCCAAGCCTCCTGCCAAGTCACTGACTACATCTTCTGTTCATTAAAGTGCAGAAAATGTGCAAGAGGTTGGAAAGTGGCTCAAAAAGCAGCCAGAAAGTCAGTAATAGTCCTGACAGCCCCTCCCTCCATCACAGCAAGTTCTTCTGCAGTGTAGGTTGGCATAAAATCCTTCCTGAGAGCTTGCTGTGGTGGTGCACTGTCAGACTCCCTCTGTCTTACTCTGCACTCGGGGTGATGTAATCAGGGCCTTCCAGCAGCTGAAGGGAACCTGCAAGGAAGAGGAGGAGGAATTTTTTACAAGGGCATGTGGCAGCAGGTCACAGGGGAATGGATCCAAACTGAAAGAGAGTCATTCAGATTAGATATTAGGATGAAGTTCTTGGCTGTGAGGGTGGTGAGCCCCTGGCACAGGTTGCCCAGAGAAGCTGGGGCTGCCCCATCCTTGGAAGTGTTCAAGGCCAGGCTGGATGGAGCCCTGATCAGCCTGGTCTAGAATAAGGTGTCATTGTTCACAGCATGAGGGCTGGAACTAGGTGACCTTTAAAGTCCCTTGCAACCCAAATGATTCTATGATTGTGGGATTCTATAATTTTGGGGGAAGATCGATGTAACACTTAAAATTTTCAATACATACATAATTTCACAGGGGTGTTTGTGTAGGATGGGTGCTAATATTGTTACTTCCACCTTTCCCTATTATTTACTCCTGAACAGAGACTTGTGGCTCTCTGAGAAATGTTTGTATTCTTGCAGTGTCTTCATGGCAGTGGACACACCAGTTATGCTGATGAGAAGATTAGGTATAGGGAGATGGAATGACTTGCTAAAGCCAGAAAATCTGTGACTCCTTAAATTACTGCAATCATCTTCTGTCTTCTTGGAAATGTACTATTTTCCCTCCCCTTGGGACTGTGTGTAGAAGCATTACAACCTCATTTCAGAGGTGAAATCACATATCATTTATACCTGATGCAGTTGCCAATGCTCAGAGTAGTTTCCCTACTACTTCTGTTTGTTTTGCTGTGAGATTCCTGCTGTGAGCCCTTGAATCCTTGGAATTATTGGTTTTCCTTTAGTACCTGAGATAAAGGATGAGCTGCTTTGATTTGAAGATCCCTAACACAGCTGGAGCCAGGAGGTTCCACCCCCCATTCCACCCCCAGCACTGAAGCCAAGCACCAGGCTCTGCCAGCTCAGCACTGCTGGTGTCACCCTTTCCTGTTCTGCAATGTGCAAACAGCTAGTGGGGTAATGCTGTTTGAACAGTCTCTCCAGTCAAGGATTTTTCCAAAATAAATTGGACAGGAATTAATGGCTGTGCATGGGAGTGCGGTTTTGCACAGTGCAGGTGGGATGGAAAATGCAATATGTTATGGCAGGAAAGGAGGAAGGAACATTTTCTCAGCAAACCTGGCTGGATGAGCTGGCAGGTGGTGGCAGAGATGAAAGAAGACAGGCTTTGCAGGATGGATGAAGGATTGGTAAAATCCTGTGAGGGAGCTGTGGAAGAAAACTGTAAAAGGAGGCCCCTGCTATGTTGCCTCACCTACCTGATGAGATTTAACACTGTTTGCCTGCCTAAAGGCTCCCTTCCCACATTTCCTTTTGCTTGTACCAGTCCTCTAGACCCTCTGCCACTTTGCCATGGAGCAGTTCTCTCTGCCTGGGTGGGCAGACAGCTGCCTCTTCCTGTGAAGCAAATGGAGTGTTTAATCCATGACACACTGGGCAAAATTAGGGCTTTCCTCACTTTATCACTCAGGTTCATGATTTCCTGCAGATTGCTTCATATCGTCAGATCTGTGGTTTTATCTGACAGCACCTCCCATGCTCTGCTTTCTCAAAACCATCTGTGAAACTGGCCCATTTTGAACAAATCACTCCTGAGCAGTTTGCTACTGGAGGAAAGAACTTGTGACTTATTTCTTGTGGAATGCTATCCTTTGTGGAGGCTCAAAATATATTTGGTGTGTGATTTCCTAGGGTCTGCTTTGAGAACCACCTAGGCTGGGACCAGGCACTTTCTCTCCCCCCTGCATAGATGTGGACCATGGTGTTTATTTGGAAGCTAGACTAGCAGTGATCTCCGGATCTGCAGTCCTTGAACACTATCTCAAAGCGGGACAGGAATGATTCATATCTCATCTTGGAGAAATGCCTGATAACTCAAGATTTCTTTGGGATGGATTTTCTAGAATGTCTCAATTGACCTGTAGCACTGGGGGACCTGGCTCTGGTAAATGAATGAGGCTGGTGTATCTCTGAAATCTAGGGAAGAGAGGATGGAGGAGGAAGCTCCTTTAGCAAGGTATGAAGAGGAATCTTCAAGGACTCTGTCTCCAGGAGGAGTCCTGATAAGGGAAGTTGAATTGCTGCCTTGAGGGTCCCTCTCTTCCACAGGGAGCTGGTCTGTGCTGTTTGGGGTGTGCCAGCAGTAACACAGGCTGCATTTCTCAAATAGGGTTTCCTTCACACAGGATTACACCTTCCTCAGTACTTGCTCTCATCTGAGCCCTTCAACCCTTGTGTGGGGCTCCTCTTCCAGCTGACTCTTGCCTTGCTGCCATCACGTGGTGGCCAGGCTGAGCTTGGCAATGGATCCTATTTTCCCCTAATTCCTGACTGCACACCAGGAGCACAGAGTACTGTGGTGGTGGCTGTGTTTGTTTGCTTGAGGCTCATGTTACCCTGCTAAGCCCTGGCTGAGGCAGATGTCCCTGGAGCAGGTGAGTGTATGCATTCCTCCAGAGCTGGCTGTCCCAGTGATACATTCATGGGGCAAGGTGAAACGGTTCAAGCCCCAAAAGATTTGTCTTTCATACGTACACTATCTGAATGACCTCTGTTTGTAAAGCAATCCCAGTCAAATGGAAAACCTGACCTCTCCTGGTACACCCCACTGAAGCAACCAAAACCATTATCAAAAGGTTATGGAGTCAGATTCCTGCTATATATAAATAAAGTGACATTTTGCTAGTAGCGTTGGTGTGAATGGATGTTAAAAAATAAACAAAGCATTAATTTTCTTTCACAAAAGGAAGGGGGTTGAGTTGGTTGGTGTTTTTTTTTTTTTTTACAGTCTCAGAATATTTCATGAGGAAGATTCCCTTTGAGCTGCTCAGCTCAGCTAAAGATGGTAGGAATTTTGCTTGGTCTTTTGGTATTTCATGGGAAATACTAGTTAGCAGCAATGCTTTTGTCAGCCAGCGTGAAATGCCAGCCAGCCTCTATTTTCTTGCTGAAATGGCACCAGTCACTGCAATGTGTAGAAAAATCCCACCCCCCTGTGCTTCCAGGCTGCCCCTCCACAGGGACCGTGTCCTTGTCCCTGTGTGTCACTGACACAACACGTCCCGTACCTGATTCTGCTGCTGGAGGGTCCTGCAAGGACTGCAGCAGAATGGATAATGGAGAAAACAACAGATTTCCATGCACTTAACATGCACAGACTGTTGATTAACCCTTAATAACTCCTGTACAGACACCAGGTATAACAAGGAAGAGCTGCTAAAGAACCCAGTGTGGTTTTGTAGGTACACTGCTACCTCTCTAGATAACATTTTACTTCTGGTTTTAAGCTTTTGCTGTCCCTGCATGATGTTAAACTGGAATAATCTGTTCTCTTCAGAACGGAAAGCATTCAGGGAAGGGTGCTTAAGACATCACAGGAATCAAGTTAAGAAAAATACTTTCATTTTCACTTTCATTTGCCCTGACAGAGAGCTTTGCTATATGCCACTGGCACAGCAGCCCCAAAACACATGCTTCAGTGAGAAATAGGGTCTTGAAAAATGTGCAGGAAATGGCACTGGGTACTGAAGTCCTCAGCTCTCCTATAAAGCTGACCCAGGGAGCAGCAGCCGTGAAATTTTCTTTTCCCTTTGCTGCCAATGTACCTTGGCTCTGACCCGGGAAAACCTCTACGAGAGGGGTAAAATTCAGATCACAGCTTGGCAAGCCCTTCATTGCATCAGGACTTCAGTTTCCAGAGTCTGGGCAAAGCTTAACCTCCCACACATAGATGAGGCACTCTTTGGTAAAGAGACTGTTGTGCAGAAACAGGCAATATGACATTTCCTTGAACTCTTGGTTCCCTTTGATCAGCTGGTCTCTCTACAAGGAGCTGACATTGGAAAGGGGGTTAGGAGTCTGAGCAAGAAATGAAGAAGAGCTGCTCCAGGGGCTGGGAAAGCTATGCTGCTGCTGTCTGAAATAGAAGCAAATACTGTGGATGTGGTTAGATTAATTTCTGGGGTTCACAATTTGTACACATTATGAGTGGGTAACAATCCATGGGGATATATGTAGAAGTTAGGGTCAGCTTCATGCATTAGGAAAGTCAAGACAAATGGCTTGGTAAAGGCAGAATGAATTTCCATTAATGGAAAGGATGAGTGATCCATCAGAAGGAGAAAGAGCGGGCTGGGATAGGGGAAGGAGGAATCCTGCAGATAGCCACAAACGCAGCATCTCCGTGGTGCAGGCCAGCAGTGCTCTCTGGCAAACGAGTGTGCAAAGCTGTCTTCTGGGGCTAGTGAGCACAGCAGGGCATGGCCCCTTCACAGCCAGCCCTAGCCTGCGAGTCAGCACCCCTCGGGCCTTTTTTCCAGGCAAAAGGGCACTGGGAGCAGCAGCTTCGGCACAGCATTCCAGGGCTTCATGGGATTATTTATTCACTGCGTTCCTGGAGCGGTTCCAGGCGTCCCAGCTCTGCCACCAGCCTACAAATTCATCAAGTACCCACAAGGCTCACAGTGCCCAGAGGCAAGGGCAGACTGCAGGAAGGTGATTCGTGTTACAAATCAGTGTCTCTGAAGGGCTGGCAGGGCTCTGGGAAGACTGAACCGGATCCTCGTCCCTTCCACCTCCCAGCGCTCGCCGGGGCCATCCCGGCAGCAGCCGCGCTCTGGATGGATTTCATTGCCGGCGCCATCGGAGGTAAATGCATGCATTAGTGCTTGTGGACAAAGCAGATAGCTGTGCTGCCTCCTTGTTCAGCTGAAGGGCAGGTCTCAATAGCAGAGCCGAGAGCCTTTCGATGGGGGCTGCCTGTTAAAAGCGTGTTCTTCCTTATGAAGTGGGAAATGCCATCAGAGCAGGTTCGCGGAGCTGCTGGAGAGGCAGAGCTGCAGCTTGGTCAGCTGAGGTCATTCAGTGGGACAGGGTAAAACTCTAATAGGAAGAGACAGAGCGTAATAGGTTTTATTTAATACAAACCGGCTTGTACACAGCCCTGACAGCGAAACCCTCGCGTGTCTGGCATCTAGGGGTCCCAGCAGGCTGCTGGGGTGGTGGCTCTGGGGGGCTGAGAGTGTGCTCTGTGAGACAGGAGGGGAGGAAGCACGGTGCTCTGACTGCATTCAGAACGTCCGGATAAACGACCTTTGCATTATCTTAGGTCAAAGTGCATTTGCAGTTGTGATGGAGATCTCAGAGCAGGCGAGCCAGGCAGCAAGCTTTGATCTAGGAGAAAGTAGGTTAGCTGTATATAAAAAAAGTAACAGGAGAGAAGTGTGATTAAGTTCTAGACATTTTTAGAGCATGCACTGCTCAAACACATCTTTGTTTTAAATGACAAAATGTACCCATTGGTCTCAGTTCTTTGCTGAAATTTTGTTAGATTTAGTGGAGTATACAAGATAATATATACCAATAGATATTTTATATATATATATGTAAAATATACCAAAAAATTCCATGAAAAAAGCCTTTGGGTCACCACTGACAGAAAGGCCAGGTAAATCTACTAGGCGGCTGAGACATCCAGCCCAAGCCTGCATGACAGATCTCACTTTGACATTTGCTGAAATGTGGCATTTTCCCTCACCAGGAACAGCCTGTGGTCCTGCTGCAGATGTGTTTGTCCTGGGAAGGACCATGCTGAGTCTTACCCTGCCCACGAAATGCTCATCACCCAGTATGTGCAAGTGGGGCAAGATTTGGCATCTCAGCAGCATCCAGCCCTGGAGGTGCCTGTTGTGCCTATGCTTGGGGTGTTGGTCTTCCAGGGATGTTGGGAGACTCTTCATGGGAGAGGAGGATATAACCAACCCCACCACAATAGCTTGTCTTTCTCCTCCTGTTTCCCTTCTGACTTCAGAGCACCTGTGGGGAAGGAAACCCTCTCCTAGGCCTGGCAGTGGCATGTCCATCCCAGAAGGATTAATGAAACCTCCTCTCAGACTTCATGGTGGGGCAGAGATTATTGCATTTCTTGCTTGGACTCTTCTGTTTTTTTAGCACAGTTTGAGACAGGTCACTTAAGGACAGACTTCTTTTGCAAGAGAACATATAGAGCTGAAAACAGAGTTTGAACATGGTCATTCACCTTGGTTTTCTGTCCTGGCTCCCATGCAAAGCCAGGGTTTGGGCTGTGACCCTCTGTCCAGACTCCAGCATCATGTTCTGCCCAGCCATGCAGCAAGAATCAAACCTGTGTGCCCTGGACACAAGCTCAGCCTGAGGGGATCCTTACTTCACTGACTTCAGCATGTCAGAGAGCAAGATTTCCCAACCCGTCCTCTATGTCCAGCTCAGAGCTTTTCTAGGAGGGATACTGCAAATTCTCACTGGCTGGCAGAGGTGGGAGCTTGCCCATAGACACAGGGGAGGTACCTGGGCAGGGCTTCAGGGCCATCATCCTTCCCCTCAGATGGAACAGCTCCTGGGGTTGGACCTCCATCCTGCAAGAACTGGGATGGTTTTGGTGCTGAGCTTGTTTTGGGGTTTATGTTTGCTAGAGCTGAAGCAGTTTTCATGTTCCTAAGGTGTCTGTGAATCCAGCTAAGGGGCATCAAGCAAGTTGAGGCAACGTTAAAAATAAGAGTTTCTGTTTAGTAAAATGCATTCTTGTGAAAGTTGCTGTCTGCCCATCCAGTGCATGGACAACGATCCCTACTTCTCCCTGGGTGTCTCAGCCAAGGTTTGCCAACAGCTCAGAGCTGTTGCAGCCTGGGGGGCTCAGTACAGCTGTCACTTGCTCCCTTGTGGTTGTCATCCCCCCAGAATCTCTCCTTAATTGAGTTGCTTGCTCAGAGTGACCTGACTTGTGTAGGGACTGTGACTGATCCATTTTGTGCACTCCGTGTGTGTAGGGGATGCTGCAAGCTCTGCTCAATACGTGGGAATATCTCAGATAAAGGAGGCATAAAAATGGCTCACTAAAATAAAAAGAAGATAATTCTTCTGGTTTTGCTCTTTATTTTTGTCACAGTGTTACTCAGCAGGAGTCCCACAGGAACCCTCTCCTGCATGCCTGCTGTTCATTGCTGGCCTTCTTTGATTTTGCTGCGCAAACAGGGCATGTGTGGGTCATGCTATCTTAGTCCCAGGCTATTTATATCATGTGTCAGTGTGCAGAGCCCTCATTCCTCAGCTTTTGATAGGCTTGGCTGAGCTCCTCAGCTCTGACAACTGCTTGGAGTGCTTTGTGCCCCTAAGTAGTGCAGTTCGTGGCAGGTTGGGTTATTTGGAGGTTTGGGGGATTCACATCTTTGCTGGGAGTAGTGAAAAATTTGCTTTTATGGTCTCCTCCCAAGTGGAGATGTTTTACCCTTACTGGAACCAAGTTCATGGGGAACCTTTAGGGCTGAAACAATCTGTTTTGGGCAACCCACTGGGCTGCTCTCTTTGGATCTTATTGTGTGAAGCGGGTGATTTCTCCAGAAGGGAGGTCAGTTCTTGTCAAACACTGATCCAAATCACCCTTGGTATGTGATCTGCATGAGCCAGAGCTCCTACCTTCCTTATACAGTGGAGTGAGCCAGGACTGAGCTGTGCGTGGTGCCCCTGTGCCACCAGCATCTGGTCAGCCCAATGCCCATCTCCTCTAAGTTCAGGAATTCTGAAAAGGATGAGATGTGTCAGAAGCTCCCAGCTGAGACGGGGTGCTGGTGCTGGGGACTGCAGCTGTGAGGTCAGCACTGCCACGCTGGCACTGACCCATGTGCTGCTCCTCCTGGCTGGAAGTGTCCTTGTTTGCTCTGGCTGGTGGCTGGGGACCTGGGGCAGCACAGGTGTCCCCAGATGACTTTGTGCATTGTCACTCTCTGCTTGGACCTCAGCCATTGCTTTTCCAAGCCATATTATTGCCTGGGTATTCCCCCTTGCCCTCTCTCTTCCATCACTGTGTCTCTTCCATTCTAGGCCCCTTTTCCCCCTTTAGTGTTGTTTGTCTGGTGTCAGATTTGATAGATGTTTTTGAAGAACAAACCTTAATTTTCTGCAGAAAGATGCTGTTGTTTTCCTCTGAGTAATGCACTTTGGGACTGTCTCCTGGTGACTCACAAGAGCAGCTGCTGCTTTTCTCCAGAGCATGGGAGAGTTTTCCAGAGCTCTCAAGCAGCCGTGTAATCAGAAGTGAACATGCCCACACCAACTAACACATTTTTAAGTAGCTTGGGTTTTAATTTTTCTTTTTTAAAGAAGAACTCAGAGGCATTTTTCAGTAGGTGAGCCACCAGATGTGTCCTGTAGCTCTGAATGCCTGACTGCCTGATGGGCTAACCCAGCACTTCTATGAACTTGATCTCTGCCTAAGTAACTCATGTGGATACAACTCCATTGTTGTCCAGCCTGATTTCCTCTCAGGTGACTTGGCAGGTGATGTACTGGGAAGAAGTTTGCTGGTCAACACCTTTATTACCTGCTAGAGCTGAACAACTCAGTGGGGCGAGATCTGTTTATTATTGCAACAGAGAGGAATCCGTGTTGGAGCTCTTCAGCCCTCCTTACTTGCCATTAAGGCAGTAGCTTTGTCTCAGAGGATTAATAGCTATCCAGTGGCTATTTGAAGGCTCTAGGAGTGGGCGTGGGTGTTGCTGGAGGGTTGACACGGGCCCGGAGCTGTCACGGCGTGTGATGCTCGGCAGCCGCTGCCTCTGGGCACTCCCAGCGCTAATCCCTCCCTGCCCCAAATCCCACCGAGCCCTGAAAACCAAAGTTGCTGCAGGCTGTGTGAGTGGGGATGCTTTGCACCACCCGCTCATAGTTCAAAGATGCTTTTAGTGCCTGAGCTGAGAGGGGAAACAAATACAGCCCAGTATCCTCCCTTCATCCTTCGGGGCAGTGCTCTCAGTGCCTCTCTCTGTCTCATCTTGCTCCATCCTGTTGTTCCTGAAAAGTTTCCCGTACTCTGTTTTCTCCTCTGGGTGAGCCTTGATCACACAGAGAAATGTGCATTTTTCTCTCATTCATGGCTCAAACGTCATTATTGGAGCTCAAGAAGTTTGGTGCCAGGCACTGCTGGGCTCTGCTATTCCCCAGTGCCCTTCTGTGATAGGTGGAAAGGTCTGTTGTGACATGTGCTGTTTACCATCTCCAACATATTCTCTGTTTCAGGTGGTCTAAGCACAGCTGTGGGTTATCCACTGGACACAGTAAAGGTACCTGTTGGAGCTTTATTTCTTGACTATAGAACAAAAAAGAGAGGTGATTTGTTTCCCTCCTCCTTTTCAGAAAAATAGTCCCATGATAATACTTTATCTGCATTACATCTCCATATCTCAATGTATTTGGTTGTGTTTTTCTCCAAAAAAATTTAAATTGTTTGGTCATGTTATTTTATAGTTAATTATCTGGTTTGCTACTATGGCATTTGTTGTTTTATTTATTTTAATATTATATCTGCATTTTAAAGTTGTCCTTGTGTTCCTAGGTGAGAATCCAGACTGAGAACCACTACAGAGGATTTTGGCACTGTGTTCAGGAAACGTACAGGACAGAAAAGGTAGGTGCCCCCAGCGGTGCTGCTGATGCCAATTGCACATGCCTTGTTTCAGAGCAGCAGACTGGGGAGGAGGGCACCAGCTGCATACAAGCATCAGCTGGGAGAGGGCTCGGGGTGAAATTTAGCTTTGCTGATGAGCTGTAAAGTGGGTATAAGTGTTGACTCAGCAATGTACAGCCAGTGCTTTTGAGCAGATGCTTTCCCATGCCGTTCACCCTTAAAATTCGCCTTTCTCCCGTTTCCCTCGAGGTCCGGGGGTTTTACAAAGGCGTGACAGCATCAGTGCTCGCTGTGTCGGTGGTTTCCTCCGTCTCCTTTGGCACATACAAGAACTTCCTCGGTGCCCTGTGCAAGCTGCGGTACGGGGCTGCAGAAGCCAAGCCGTCCCGGCTGGATGTTTCCCTCGCCGGAGCCGCTGCCGGCGCTGCCCGGGTAGGTACACAGCCCGCAGGGGAAGCACAGCCAGGGATCTTGTTCACAGACAGGCGCCTGGAAAAGCAGGGAATGTTTTTTCAGTCCAGGAGGACACAGGGGAGCCTGCAACAAGTCCGGTGGGTTTGTTTTTGCAGGGGAGGTCTTGCTCTGCCCTCGCTGGCCCTTCAGTTGTCGGCTCCATGGCTTGGCCGAGTCCTGCTGGGCAGCTTGTGCTGGATTTGGTTTGGAGCACCAGAACGCTTAGGAACGTGCCACTAACATGACACAGACCTTGTCAGCAAACACAGAACAAGGAGGAGGACACAGCATAGGCAGCAAACTCCCCAAGTGGCTGCGACGGCGTGTTTATGTAAGACAGACACAACGCTGAGCTAAAGCACGGGGCGCTGCTTTCCCAGCCCAGGAACGGGCAGGGCACAGCGCTGCCCTGCCAGGACTTAAAACTCAGCAGGGTACCACTCAGAAATGATGCTGCCTGACAAACCTGCAGGGTCCTGGGGCAGGGGGCAAAGCTGGGTCCAGGAGCAGTTTCCCAGAAGCAGATGAGGGTGAGCATCCACAGGTGCTGTGAATGTGTTGGAGCTCATCCCATCACACCCATGGCATGCTGGGCAGAAATACATGCCTGGTCACAATCCTCTTACAGAGCAGTCCAGATGGTCAGGTTTGTAGGTGTTTCCTAGCAGTCAGTGACTCAACATGGCCTAAATTTTTATAGTCTGGATGGTCTTGGTTCAAATACAGATACAAATAAGAGCCCTGATGCATGCTTCCCTATGGCTGAGGACACCCCTCTTTCCACACCCATCTAGTTCAACAAGTAGTTACAGGTATTTAATATCCTGTGTTGATTCTTCCTGGCCTTCCTCTCTGCCCGGTGCAGCTCACACACGTGTCCTGCTGCTGCTGGGTGGAACAGCACAGGCAGAGGGGAGGAGGCTGGAACCTGCTGGAGCTCACAGACAATACTATTGCCTGAAAAGCTGGGAGACAAGAACTCACAGGAGGAAGAATTCATATTTTTTACCTGTGAGGGCTATAATGCCATTCTCTGGTGTTGCAGGTTGTGTTGACAAACCCTAGTGAGGTGGCTAAAGTTCGGATGCAGACTCAGAGAAACCCACACCCTTCCACCACACATCAGCCTGTTTCCAAGCCAAAGTACCGAGGGTCTCTGCACTGTCTGAAGGTTATCATCAAGGAGGAAGGTTTTGGAGGTCTCTACAAGGGCTGTTCTGCATTACTCTGCAGGGATTGCTCTGCTTCTGCAATATATTTCCTTTCCTATTCTGCGCTGTGCGACTGGCTCACACCAGATGGGAGAAATAAACCAGGTAGGTACTGGAAAGCATCTGGCATTACCTGCAAATATGGCTTATTTAGTTCCATACTAAGAGGGAAACCAGACTCTAGGCAAACATCACCCAGTACCCATAAAACCTCACTCAGATCCTCATGAGGGGTTGCTCTGTGTGTGCTGGTTTTGGCCCCAGGCCTAGCATCAGCAGCCTGCACGCCAGGGCTTCAGTGTCCCCACCTTGTCCCTACGCAGCTCCTCCTCCTCCTGCAGGCGGGGTTCTTACCACACCCTCTGCTGCCTCGAATGTGGATATGAAATCCATCCTGTTAATGCAAAAACAGGGTAACAAGAAATTAAATATGGACAAAGCTCCTGGGAGCCATGGAACTCAGACTCAGTCTTGAATATGAAGTCCAGGTGGAGAAGGTAAAGATACTTCAAATTCTTAGTTGTGATTTGGCTCCAAAAAGCAACTATCCACTTTGAGAAAAGATTGAATAGGTAAGATTAGCAAAAGAGCATCTCCTCAAGAATTATAAAAATTAGATCCATCTGAAGAGGGTGTGAGTGCTCTCAGGCTGTACCACATCTAGTTCACATGGTGTTCAAAGTGTCACATGTGCAAAAATTCTCTGAGATCACTGGAAACACACAACTGCAAGAGCTGCACAAAATAACTCCTTTTTGGGAAAGTTACCGAAGTTTGTTATCAAATCTGATTTGGCTGTAGCTCAACAAGATGCAAGTGAACTGCCCTTCTCCCCCCACTCTCTCCTGCAGGTTTCCTTGTTGTGCTGCTTTCTGGTGGTTTTGCTGGAGTCCTGGCCTGGGGATTAGCTACTCCCATGGATGTCATCAAATCACGCATGCAAACAGATGAATCGGACCAGCACAAGTACAAAGGCCTGATCCACTGTGTGAGGGAAAGTGTGAGAAAGGAGGGGACAAAAGTGCTTTTCAAAGGACTGGGTTTAAACTGCATTCGTGCCTTTCCCGTGAACATGGTAGTGTTTGTAACATACGAAGGTGTACTGAGATTTACGGATCATTATATAAAAAAAAAATAGCTTGTTCCATTCTGTCCAAATGGGTATTTTATTTATTTGTTTTGTAAGACAACATCCACAAACAACTGTTGAATTGATGGACAGCATAAGAAGCATGGACATTTCAGCCCAAAGCTGACAATTGATGGCTTTGTTTTATTCTTACAGGATTACAAACTCATCAGGGAGCTTTGGCTTCATATAAAACCTCCCTTTTATCTCATTAAGGTATTCAGACTGTAGCCGCCACTTAGGCCGTTGAAACATTTGTGAATTTTTACGTTCTAATAAGTTGTTTGTCTGATCAGGGGTGTTGATAAATCAAGTAATTTTTTTTCTACTGGCACAGATAATGATCCTCCCAACCACAGGAAGAGCTGGGGGGGGAGTTTGTGTAAGATCCAACTCTCCAGCATGTGCTCTTTACGTGCTGTGCCTGCACTGCATTCACCAAGTGACTCACCGAGCTGCAGGCTCCCCTTCCCAGCAGTGATTTTCCCAAAGCACTCTCCAATTCTGCTCCCTTGGCAGCAGCTGAAGCAGGAATGTCCCTGCTGTCCCTGCTGCTCTAACGAGTGGCAGCCGTGCTCTGTTTATGTAACTGTGCCCGTGGCCTTGCTGCCAGCCCGTGCCGCTTTCTCCGGAGCCCCACGCAGCTCAGCCCCCTCCGCAGGCTCTCCCAGCTTGGCACAGCTTTGGAGGCAATCTGTTCTCCTCCTGGAGCGAGGGCAGGAATACATGCAAAGCCTCTTTGCTGGCTGCCATAAAATCCGTGCACTGGCGGGGTTAGGCAAGTTAGAAGAGAGTTGCAGAGGTGTAGAGCATAATCAAGATTTTAAAAGTGCAAACTCTTCTTCCTTTAAATGGTGCTGTTAGGAGCAGCTAAACGTATTTAGGTGCAAAAGTGCATTTTGAGAGAATTTCAGATTTTCTATTACTTCTTCCTACTTATTTTTCATTACTTTTCCCTACTTTTTTTCTTTTTTTCTTCATGAAAAAGTTAGTTGAAAAACCACCGCCCATGCTATCGCTTCAGAAGAAAAATCCCTAAACCCAGAAATGTTAGTTTGCTCATTCTGCCTCACGGGCAACACACACGCTTCTGATTTAATCCCTGGATGATGACACTTGAAGCATTCTGGATCCAACCTCTCAGATTCTGCTAAAAATGTGTTTATTGGAGGGAAAGGGGAATACTGTATTTTAAAAGGTATACTGTATTGTATTGTATTTTTATGTATTCTCATATTTAGGACCCTTCTGGTCAGCAGTCACTCTCACCAGTTGATGACATGGCTTTACTACACTGACTGCAGTTTTGTAGCAGACAGACTTGTCAGCTGCCTTCAACATACAGAAAGAGCTACAACAAATTTAAAGAATCCAGGTGCTCCTAGACAAGAATAAAGGGAACCTCTTCTACCCCACACAGAGACAACTAAAAAGCCCCACAACTCCTGAAATCTAAGCCTTCAACTGGTCTTTAAAACACATTCACAGCCATGCTATCATATCAAACAAGCACCTGAATTCTTTCAAGGGTCTACCCAGCTGCAGCTGATCCAAGAGCAGGGTGAAGAGACCAGGCTGGTGCACACTATGTCACCTGAAGGGGAGTGAAATGAAAGACCCAGCACTAAACCAGATTCTCTCCAAAATGCTTATGGCCTCAGCAATCTACCACCCTGGTGACAGCTTTGGGTGTCGGGATCAAACTTCCTTTAGCCAGAAAGTCCTTAAAACAGAAGATTTAATTATGTCCTTGAGGTTTGGAATTCCTCTTAAGAGGAATTCACCCTCACCTCTTTCTACAAGGGATGTGTTTAACTCAGTAGTGATTTATCCCTGCTCTGCCTGGATGTTTGGAATTGTACTCCTCAATGCCATGTTATTCTCAGCCAACCTTGTTCTCAGGCATTACATTCTCTCAATTGAGACAGTGAAAGAATGCCTGCAAAACAGACTAAACAATCATTTATTGTTAGGCAGCACTGATACCATTCATGGTCAACTCAAGGTTTGAATATTAAATAGCCCATCTTTCCCAGTATGCTCATGCACTCAGATAACTAAAAATGTCTCCTCCTGTGGGTGTAACTGAAATGCAGCTGATTCCAAGGGAGAAAAATTCCAGAGGAATTGTAAATATGAGCGGGAATAACTGCAAAAGCCAGTGCAAGGGCCTGAGAATTCTAAGCCTCGGGGTGTTCAGCAGCACATACAAGCAGGCTCTCATGTGGTCTGAACAAATGCTACATGAGAGGCAAATTGTATCCCCAGCCAGCTTATTTCAGGAAGGTAAGTGCTTCCCAATCCATCCTGTTCAGAACCCTCTACTGGGAAAAAAAAAACATCTACAGTGTGTGGGTGACAGCCTGAGGAAGAGCTTGCTGCTGATACAAATAGCAGCAGGTACAGGAACTGACTGTGTGAGTACTGTAAACAAAGGCACGTGAATTTGAACCAATTTTTGTTCACTGACAGGACACATTTTATGTACTTCACTACACACACCCCAAGCTGGGTGCTCAGCTTCTGGTTTTCAGCACTTGACTGCTTTATTTTCTGATTTGTATGATCTTGACCTTTAGCTGCTCTAATGATCACAGAACTATTTATTTGATAAACTAGCTAGGTGAAGGCCAACCAACAGAAAGAAGGTACCACATTTGCTGTGCTGATATTGGGTTTGCTTTGCAGCTGGTCACGTAGATAATTTCTTTCAGCAACAAAGTTGGTGGCCTTGAGAAAAAACTCATAGAAGTCACACTCAGGATCAGGTTCCATGTTGCTGACAGCTCCTGCTTGCTCTGACAATGCTCACGAATATCCAAGCAGCTTTCAGCTTTCCTCTTGGTGATTGTGGAAGCGCTGTGGGAAGCTATTCAGAATCTGTGCTTTTGCACAGAAATTGTGAGCACTGTGTTTCCACTTAAGCACCAGTTTACACCAAACCCACTGAGGTGTCACTGTAAACAGGTCTCATTGACCTTCCTCCATCCCAGAGCTGCTGCTGTGCACAGGGACATCCAACATCCAGCCTGGCTTGGGACCAGGTCATCTCTGGACACCTGACCCTTACCAGCCCAGTCTGGGAGCACTCTGAAGTCTACCTGGAAGGAGGTTCTCAGGCACCTCGTTCTGACACTTCAAAGCTACATCAGATGACAAATTAACACCTAAAAAGGTAGGAAGAGAGGTCAAAACCAGACAAATGGTAATTTACGGCTTAAAAAAAAAGTAAAACAAAAGAAGTTTGATACAGACTTTAATCTATGTTTTTATTACAGTGAGATGGACAAAATGAGCAAATTGAGGAAAATGTAATGAACAATGTCTGATAACATTTCAGTGTGTTTTTGAAAACTGCCTTGTCTTGACCTTTAAAATCACCACTGGGACATGAACAATAATTACAAGAGAGTCAGGATTTCATCAAGACTCCTCTGAGAAGCTACCATCTCAGAAGCATGTTGGTATGAATTCCTAAGAGGACTTGAAAACAGTGCTTGTTCAGCAAACAAATACTAAATAGTTTTACTATCACTTTCCTTTCTAGAGCTTTCAAAACATAGTTCAGTTGTTGTTATAAAATAATCCATCTGCTTATCTAGAGCACGGCACTGTTTCTCCTACAGCATGTTTCTCTTTGCTGAATAACAACATTAATTCTCAGCTAATGAAATAAATCTAGCAGAACAAATCTGCGTATTTTAAACAATATATTTGCATTATAAGTTTGTAAAACCACTTTTAAAGTAAATTTAAGGCTTATCTTTTATGTATGGCTTAAAGATGACAAAGAATAGACTGCAAGAACAGGAAGGTCATCATTAAAGTCTAAAGTAATTAAGACTTAGCTTATTTATTACTGGATTTGAGAAGCTGCTTTTTTTCCCTAAGAATTGCAGCACTACATCTAGGAAAAAGAAAAAAAAAAAGTTTTTTTACTCATTGTTAAGCCCTTGCTGGCACTGAGATGTTTTGCCTGTGGGCTATGGAGACAGTCCCTGGGAAACATTTTCACTAATTCACTGAAGTCAATAGCATTAGATTAGAAATGTCAGCTCACATAAACTGTAAAGAATAAGACAAAAGCTAAGCCTTGCTCTTTCCAGCATAAGTTTGAAACTCATGCAATAAGCCTAGGTTTGCCTTGCACTTCTGCCTTTTCCTTGGTTCCTTGAACAAACATAACCAGGTTAGCCCACCTGTGTTATCTTCATCAAATAAAACCACCTTTAATAAGATTATACCTGGGCTAGCAATTTTCTATTCAAGACAGATCTAACAGTTTGCACTTAGCACTGTTCAGATCACAACAAATAGCTAATAATTTGGATTTTTCTTCCAGGAATCCTAGCGAAGACATTGAAGTTTTTTGAAGAAAGGGGATAATTAAATATTACATGAGGTATTTTAACAAAGTATATTTTCTTACTGGAATACATCCTAAAATAAATATCCCTAGTTTAAACCTCCTGGTGCAGTGAAAGAGAACAGACAGTACTAGAAGTATCCCTGTGTCCAGTGTGACTTCAATTTTCACATCATGATTTAACAGTTGTTATTTATACCCAGAAACTAATGTTTGCATTTCTATACTATCTTCCACCTGAGAATATCAAGGACCTGACAACTTCCTGACAACCTCCTCCTTCCAGAGGCACTCAGGTAAAGAGCTCCAGAAAAAAGTACAGTGAGATTTCTGCAACTTGCCCAATGTCAAAGAGGAAGATGATAGCAAGACAAGTCTGATATTCCTTCTCCAGTGTTCAACTCACAGATGTCCAATCTTTCTGTACTGATCCCACTTTGTAACATTCACTGCTTTTTTGTGCACAGCATGCTCTCAGCAGCACAAGAAGATGTACAATCTAGTAAACCAAGGTACATAGTACAAAAAAAACTTGAGCTACTGTTTATTACTTTGAGATATGACCTCTTACCAACATATTTAAAACAATTTCCAAGTTAGCCTTTATCATCAAATGGAAATTTTATTTATATTTTCAACATGAAATACATTAAAATACAATGT